AAGAATTAACTGTTCTGCTGCTTCTGGCTTATTTGTGAAGGAGGCATCTCCTCTCTTCCTTGACTTTGAGTCTTCTGCCCTGAGTTTCTAATAAGACCTATGGACACATTTGTCACCAGTTGCTGGAAACTGGACTCTATGGCCAGCAAAAGAAAAACAAGTGTTGAGTTCTGCTTGGTGTCCAGAATGGACTGGAATTACTTCAGCATAGGAGGACTGTCAGGTCCCAGGACACCGACACTATATAGGTAAATTAAGTAAAATGAACTGTTCAAACAAGAGAAGAAAATAGTTCAACTTTGTTTATATTTTTAAAAATTTCATCCTTTAGACAAGAGAAAGAAATAAAAGGAATAAAGATAGGGAAACAAGAAGCTAAACTGTCATTATTTGCTGGCGAAATGGTACTCTACATAGAAGACCTAAAAATTTCATCCTGTCTAGACTTATGTTTTTTCAATGTGTTCCATAAGACAAGTCATATATTGGTAGTGTGTTTAGTATGTTGTGTGTATATCTATATCCATGGGCACACACACATGCATGTATGCGTATATGTATATATCTTGAGGGTATCGTGATATTTTTGCTGATAGAGTTGTGAAAATGGCTTGGGCCCTCAGTCCATCAGGCCACTGTCTAGGAGATGAGTCTTTTGCACATTTGCTAATGTCTCTGGACAAATGCCTCCTGTTATGGCCTCACCTCATGCCTAACCCTTTACAACCTGAATCTTACCAAATGGCAAATCCCTTAAGAAAAGGAACCCGAAGATTTATTCCCCTGTGAATCTCCAAAATCTGGCACATAGCTGGCCCCTCGAGAAGTATGTCTGGAATGACACTGGTATGAATTGATGAAGGCTGTTGTTGGAGATGGCTGAAGATATGGCTCAGTGGTAGAGCCCTGATTTGAGCCCTTGAAGGGAAGAAGAAAATAAAAGTCTATGGGAGAATCATTCAAAGTGTTTGTATTTTACTTTGGTTTTATCTTCCACTATTTATTTCTAAACAGTATCCTTGGTGAATTTACTGGGAAAGTATCATGCAACAAATAAACAAGTACAGTACATGAACAGGTTCCGGCTGGGTCCTGGGGTGACAGGCTTGATCTCAACTTCTTTACATTTTTTTAAAACAACAAACACATAAGAAAAATTCCTAATGTGAAATTTCTCTTTCCAGAAAATAGATCAAACAATACATCATGAACTCTAAATGCACATTACCCAGCTTTAGCAATTTTTGGTCCTTCCTTATTCAACCGGGTCATTTGAAAGAAAAAAGAAAAAAATCCCGGACCTCATATCATTTCCTCTGCAAATGCTGCAGTATTCCATCAGCTTTAGCAATTTTTGGTCCTTCCTTATTCAACCGGGTCATTTGAAAGAAAAAAGAAAAAAAAATCCCGGACCTCATATCATTTCCTCTGCAAATGCTGCAGTATTCCGTCTTTGGGAAGCAGCCAGCCCTCTGAAAATACAATTGTGTTGTAGGAACTGCAGTGAGCCCCACTGGGCACTGCCAGGGCCCAGAACAAGGCAGGAGGGTTGGAAATCCCTGGAGAAAGGAGAGAGGGAGGGCTTAGGGATGATTTTTGCATTGATGATGCTCAGGCTAGGTTTCTAAGCTTAACTTTTTAGGCTGCCGTATTGAAATTTCAGAACCAGAGAGTGGATCTAACAGATAAGGAGGGAACAGGAGAGGAAGACAGGCCCCTAGAGAGAGCCAGGAGCACACCAAGATGAGAAAACAGAGGCCCAGAAAGCGAGGGCCTCTTGCCAGCGGCTGCACCCCCAGAGATCCACAGCCGTGATATCAGGCTGGGACCTCACAGCATATGCAGGACCCCTGGCCGTGCCAGGCTGTGCCTGCTTTTTCATGTACCCAGATTTCTTTTGCCAGGAATAGAGCACTCCTGAGCCCCCAATAGGCTGTGGGCGGTGAGCTGTGGGCAACCCCTTGGTCCTCTAGCAGCTTCCAGGAGGGGGCCAGAGCTTGTAGCCCCTGAATCATGGTCGGTGGCATGTGACTTCTTCTTTCTTCCTGTACAAGTTGAGCACTTGCCACCCTGCTGTCTGTTTTTCCTTGCTAAGGTTCAGTTCTAATTATGTTGATTTTCTTCATCCCACCCCCTCCTGGAAGCTTATTAGGTTGAATATTTTTATTTATTATCATTTCGCCCAACTCCTGCCAGCATTTCCAATTACTCTCCCCGCTTCCTTGTAATTGTCTTTCTGTAATGGCTCTGAAACAATTGCGCTAAATGAGGTGTCTCCTGCAAGATGAGAGTCTCACTTCATTAAAGGCTAATGTATTCTCAGCTCCAGCTCTGTGGGGCTAGCTTGGAAAGAAGACATTTAAACAGCTTCTTTTATTTTATAGAGAGCAACTTTTCAGCGACAAAGATGTCTGTGGGTTATATGTGTATGTGTGTGTGTGTTGCCTGGATTTTAATTTAAAGAAAGTTTATGAAATAGTCCTCTTATCGATAAGATTGTGTTCTCAGGTAGTTGGGATTTGTGTAAATGAGGCACAAGGGTGTGGGGTGGAAAGGGGCCCTCAATACACAGGTCCCCTCTGCCTTTCTACTAGTTCCCACCCCTTCCTCTCTTTTTCTCTGTCTGCTGGATTAACTCCCAAACATCTTCTTGCCTCCATTCTATCTCTATCTACCTCCTGCCCAATGAGCTCAGATTCCACTGTAGGATGCCCTTCTGTTATGCATTGTTTTGTATGAATCAAGTCTTTTTTGGTTTATATGTCCTGATTCATGCATTCATTTATTCATTTTGTGTTGCTTATTCATTTGTACTTTTGTCACTCATTCAGCACATGCTTTTTGCCCACTGTGTGCAGGCACTATTCAGGCTGGGGATGTGCCCTTTTAGAGAAATAGAGGCTGTTGATTCGTAAGCAGGCGCCTCTGCTACAATATGTTAAGTGCTGTAATCAGGCAGAGGCAGACACTGTGTGAGTAGCCAGGAGGGCACCTCAGAAAATCTCATGGGACCAGGGTAGGCTCCTAGAGGCAGGGTGGTCCAGGCTGATACCTGGAGGCTGTGGAGTTAGCCAAGCGGTGAGGGGGTAGGTGGAAGAACTCCAGCAGCAGGAACTTTGTGAATCAAGTCCTGGTAGCCAGAGAGCGTGGCAGGTGAGGAGGAATGCAGAATTGTCCATCTGGCAGGTGCATTGCATGGGATAATGGCTAGGATGAGAGGTGGGGCTGGAGATCAGAGAGTCACAAGGGACCACATTCCCAAGGGACCAGAGGTAGGGTATCCAAGAGTTCTAAGCAGGAGATCCATTTGGCCAGATCTGTGTTGGCCAGTATGTACAATGGATTGGAAGGTGTTTGTTGTTTTGTTTTGTTTTAAGAGACTAAGAGAATTTATAGGCAGCTGTCACAAGATAAAGTGATGACCTGACTGAAGGTATGGCTGTAGAATCAGGGAGAGCTGTACATGTTTGCAGGATGCCCACATGGAGAAATAACAAGCTTGGGGTGCAGGGTCGTGGGAGGGAGATGGGACACGGAGGACAAGATATAGGTTTCTGGCTCAAGCAACTGGCTGGATGTGTGAGAAGGCCTGGGAAACCAGATAAGGTGTGACTCAATGAGAGGTCTATGCAGTCCCTGGAGGTTGTGGGTCTACCATGCACAAATCCTAGCAGACACTGGCACCTTGATCACTATCATGGATAATAGACAAGGACTGGGAGCACCTCCCCTAGCAGGGGCTGTGGGTTTTATAAGGGTTCATTTCTTTATTCTTTTTTTTTTTGTTGGGGGGGTAACCAGGGATCAAACTTGGTTCCTTGCGTTTGCGAGGCAGGTGCAAGGATTCATTTCTTAAAGGGCCGTGGATAGACGCTGCCGAGAGTTCCTAAAGTCAGTTTGCTGAGCTAAGCCCTGAGCTGAACAAGGTCACCTATTGGCTCCGGCTTCTACCCTCAGAGCATGACCTGTGCCATGCCTTGGCATGTTGCCCAGGCAGCTCCTGTGCCAAAGGACTGCCTCTTCTAATGGAGATTTTAGTTCATAGTCAAGAAAGAGTAGGAAGGCCCATCAAGACTGAGTTGGAAGTGGAGAATTTATGCCTCTGAAGCATTTTCCTTAAGGTCCTTGAAAGCATGCCCATGGCAGTGGTATAATGGCAGTAAGAATCACAATAATACTTTGTCACACTTACTGAGTCTTGATGTTTCCCAGGCACTTTTTCATGCATTTACCTGTACATATCTCATGTAGTTCTCATGTCAGTTCTATCATGTAGATATTATTACTATTGTCATTATGACAAAAAGGAGGCAAGAAGAGAAACAAGCAGACCACCAGGTCACCCCAGCTTGCACTTTCCTTCTCAAAATAAAGGAGGGAGTCCGGCCAGGCCAGAGCCAGCTTGAGTATATGCAAGGCCCAAGAGAAGGGCTTGGCCCTGTCCCTTCTTGCTGATTCCCTTGCTGTTCTTCATGCCCCCAGGTCCTTCAGGGCCCTGTGCAAATGTCACCGACTCTTCCAGGCACAGCTAGTATTTCCTTCTTCTGTGGTTCTCAGAATATGTACATTGCTCAGTTATAGCCCTGTTTGCAGTTATTTCTTTGCATGTCTGTCACCTCAGCTCTACTTTGGGTTTTCCTAAAGAAGAGATCTTGTGCACCCAGCATAGGAGTTGATCCATAGTAAGTGATAAATAAGTGCTATCAGGCAGGCATGATGGTTTTGGGGGGAAGTCTGTGGTCAAAATAAAAGATCCCTGCTCCCCTCACTGTCACTGAAGAAGCAAGCTGCCCAGATAGGCTCCAGGTTGGATTCCACACCACTGGGGACCTGCCTGGTAATAAGGGGCAGCTGCCAGGAACAAACTCTCTGCACTCCGAGAACGTGTGTGGGCCGAGGCAAGTGCTCCTCCTGGGTGGGAGGACAGAGGAAGCAGAGTCTGGCTCGCTGTTTAGTCTGATGAGGTTCTTATGTAACACCAGGCTCTCTCCGGCTCCCAGGGACTGAAGAGAGCGCACACCAAGGAAACCAACAAACGGAGACACACACTGCTTGTGCTGTTGGACAACTGGAGTGAAGAGGTGTGCACATCTGATGTCTTCAGCAAAAATTTAGCACCAGGGCAGTTTCCAAACTACTTTTTACAAAGAAAATGTGCCTTTAAATAGCCAAGTTTAAAAAGTTGCCAATAGTCTTCCACTTCCCCAAATGTTAAATCGTGCTCTTGATTGCTTGATTACAAGGCTCTGTGGGGTGCTGGAAGGTTCTGCCCTCCAGAATCACCTCTTCTGCAGCTGTGGAATCAGGGCTCTCTGGTCACAGGCTGAAGACAGCCAGTGAGGGGAGAAAACCAGGAGGAAGGAAGTACAGTTGCCTCCTGTATCGCTGGGCTCTCCATCTACAAATTCAACTAATGGAGGACGGAAAGTACTTTGAAAAAAATTGAGCCTGTCCCGAACATGTCAGACATTTTTCTCTTGTGATTATTTCCTAAACAATATAATATGACAACTATTTACATAGTATTTACATTGTAAGTATTATCAACAATCTATAGATCATTAAAAATATATGGGAACACTGGTATAGGTTCTACACAACTACTAGGCCATTTTATTCCTGTGAGGTACTTGAACATTTGGAGGTTTTGATATCCTTGAAGGATCCTGGAACCAATCTCCCAGGGATACCAAGGGACAACATATTGTTCTAATTCTGAGAGCCAAAGATCTAAGTTTTGAAGTGTGGTCATTAAAGTGTGACTTTGGACAAGAAGCCTCCCCTTTCTGAGTTTCAGTTGCCACATCTGTAAAATGAAGAAAAAAGTCAATTCTGTCCTGCTTAGCTCACAGGCTTGTTTGGAATATCTGTATCCTGTGCTATGCAGGAGATCACCATCACTTGGTGGCACTGCCTCTCATCTAGGTTGGGTCACAGTTGAAAGGAAGAGCTGTTTATTCTGATCAAGTTAGTGCTTTGGTCAACTCTCTCTTCCTCCTGCTCTGGAGCTGAACCCTACCTGTGCCCTATTTTCTATAGCACTGAGGGCAATGTCAGGTGAATGCTAAATCTGAAGTCCCATGGACTTCTTAGATCCAGCGGGAAAGATCTCCCGAGCACAAGTGAAGTGGGAAACTTGCCTGTCCTCTGAAGGACAACAGGTGGTTTAAGGTAAGAAGTCTTAGACTCCTGGAATGGAGCTACACAGAATGTTCCCCTGTTGGGCTGGGTGGTGGAGCACTTGTCTAGCATGTGCCAAGGTCTGAGTTTCATTCCCAGTATGGAAAAAAAAAAAAAAGCAAAATATCACTTTGTTCATTTCACTAACATTTATGAATATGTAGTCCTAACCTTTCAGAGTTTGTAGTACAGCAAAGATACCAATTTAGTATCCACTTGTCTCCATTTTGTAGATGAAAAAATAAGGCCATCCTGGAGGGAAAGTGACACACAGCCACTTAGTAGACCTAACAGGATCCAAAACCTGCACTATAGAGATGCAGTGAGCTAATACATGCTCAAGAAGTCAGAGCCATGCCTGGTATCACCAAATGAGGTTTCTAGGTAGACACGCTTCCATTACCTTCCAGACTCCAGGAGTGTTTCCTTGATCTCACATAAATCCTCATTGGCCATGAATCCTAGCCTTGTTCATAACTTGAAGTAAGCCCAGCCCACCTCCAGGATGAGGTTGACATTGAGAGGACAGGAATCACAGTGATCCTCAGCTGTTGGTCCTGGCTCTATGGGAGCATCCTGGGCATTTTATTCTTTCATTGAACTGAAGTTTATGGAGCATGTGCCACATATTAGTTCCAGGGCTAGATTGCAGAAAAGGACCTGATCCCTCAGGAAAGTTATATTTCAGTATGATCAGGATGGGGTGTTAGGGGGTGGACAATGAATAATAAAAATACATGGACTTTCCAGATATAAGGAGATAAAAGCTGGAGAAGAAGAGGAGGGTTGGGTGTGGCATGCAAAAAGGGGATAGGTTATATTGACTTCTGGAAATTGTCCTGCCAAATGAGGCAGGATTTTGGTGAGCCTCTGCTCAGCGCTAACAGTCCAGGGTCTCTAAATCTCAGTATTCCCAACAAATGTTATTAGTACTTAAGATTGTTCCTGCTCTATCCAGCCCCTACCCACAGCTAGGAATAATGCGTCTCAGCACCAACTCAATTTTCACCAGTATCCCCTTGGAGGGCTCAGTGACCTTCCTCTGGAATCAGGGGCAAAGAAAATATACAAAGACTAGGACTATTCCCCTGATACTCCTTGAGCTGAGTTTTCCTATTTGAAAGGGGAAACCTAACCTGCCCGGAAATATGGAGGGATGGGTTCCAGGCTCACTGGCTGTGGTGAAGCTTCCAGCCCTGAACAACTGGGGACACACTTCATTCCAGGGCAGGGGCAACAGCAGGGAAACTGCAGCAGCATCCCCATCTATGTGCAGGGAAAAAGCCATGTCTCCCTTCGCTGGAAACGGTATTGATATCGGCCCCTAGCCCTACCCCAGCAACATGGCTACCTGTGTAATTGGTTTTCTTCTGGAAATCAAAGATGTCCTTTGAACTTCTGTGACTCTACCCCCCTCAACAAGTGGGCCCCGGGACTGGGACCCTAGGATACCATTATAAGGGACTGGTGTCTTCTAGATCACCTCATAATTCAGGAGCAACTGGACTTGATTTTGATTGCACTTTGTGCCCAAATAAATAGCCAGAGCCCCACTTAAAGGATGGCCCAAGCAGAAATGTGAAGGTGAAGACCTGAGGAAACTTAGATGTAGAGACCACATGATCTACAATTCTTCTCAAATTTATGAGTATGCCTGGGATCCTAAGAGGTCATCTTGTTCATTCCCCAATCTGTAGGAAGGCCTGCACTTAACCAGCCAACCAACCATGAAAGCCCACCTAGTCCTGAGAATGTGAACTCACTAAGAGTAAAAGGGGAGCCCCAGAGAAGGAAATTGACTTGTGGCTGTGGGGGCGGGGAGGAGGAAATGAACCAGGCCCTGGGAGCTTCAGAGACTGGGCTTCTGGATCTGGCATCACTGACTATGTTTCTTGAGAAGTCTGTCCGAAGCATCCTTAAAAAGACCTAGGACTCAGAATCAAGTGTAAACCTTCCTCTTGGTCCCTTGCCCACTGCACCAGGCAAAACAGGAATAAGCAGAAACAGTCCCAACCAGGTGGCACTCACTGTGTGTGTGTGTTTAGGGTGGGAGCAGTACTCAGATTCCATCCAAGAAAGCACCCCGGTGCTGGTAAGTCAGCACTGTGATTGACAGGCCCAGGCTTTCCTGGAGGACCTCTCCACCTAGCTCTGGGAACTGGTGGTCAGCTGAGCCTCCCCTGGCCACATCTTCATCCTTGGGCTCCTGGCCCTCAAATCTCCCTTTTTGTTCACCACCCCTGCTAGCTACCCAAGAGATGCTTTATTCCTAGGGAATTGGCCACTTCCTAATTTCTCAGCCAATCAATCCTGTTGTTTTTCTCTGGCTCAGTTGCTGTCGTGGTTGCAGATTTCTTAGTAATGATCTTCCTCCAGGAGCGAGGGAGAGACATGCTGCTGCTGCTGCTGTTGCTACTCTGGCTGCCAACATTAAAGCTTTCTGTGTGGCTTTGGTAGAATGTTAAGAATTGGAAGATAATTAAGTTGCATTTCTGTGCATTGTTTACTGTTGCTCTCAACCAGTCACTATTCCATAGGGGCTAATCTGTGTAGGGTTTTTTTTTTATTATTATTATTTGCAGTGCCTGTTTGTACCACATTCTTCATTATGCTTCAGTTACAATTTTAATTTTACTATTATTAAATCTTCCCCAAAGCTGTATTATTCTGTGCCTCTGAGCTGGAATTCCTGATTTGGGGACTGTTTGCATCTGGGCCTGTTCACAAATGATTGTTCTTGTTTACAAAAGAACATACATTAAAACTTAGCACTAGAGGAATCCTGGTTCCCTTCTTTCCTCCTTGCCCCTGGCTCACCTGGCTGTGGGAGGAGGGGAAGAGGAGAAACAGGGAGCAGAAAGGATATATTTGTAGAGATGCTGTTGTTGAAAGGATCTTTATGTCTTCCAGGGGCCAACCACTGGAGAGGCAGTGAACCAGAGACTTAGAAGTGTAGGTTTTGGAATCAGACAGATCTCAGTTTGAAACCCAACTTCTTCACTTAATAAGTTTCTGACATAGAGTCATTATGTAACTTTTCTCAGCTTCAGTTTTCTTGATGCAAAAATGAGGAAGTGATGAGATACTAGCATCCCATGGGTTAGAATAAAAGGAGATAACATTTTAGAATGGTGCCTGCCACATGGTAAGGACTTAATAAAGTGCAATGCATTAGTCTGTTTTCCATTTCTATAACAAAATACCTGAGGCTGAGTATTTTACACAGAAAAGAGGTTTATTTAGCTCACAGTTTCTGAAATTCACATTCATAGTACTGGCATCTACTCAGCTCTGGTGAGGACCTCATGGAAGATGACATCACAACAGTAGCATAGGAAGCAAGAGAGACCCAGATGCTAGGCATGCTCTTTATATAAATTCACTTTCCTGTTTAGAGAGCAATAACCTAACCACCTTCACCTAGGCCCTACCTCTTAAAGGTGCCACATCTTCTCAACACCATCACAGTGGGGTCCAAACTCCAGCACAAGGACGCCTAGGAGCCATCCTTAGACCATAGCAGTAGGTAGAGTGCTGTTGGCTGTTATCATCGTGATCGTGATTCCAGCACTCTGTTTCCTGTCCATTTTGCTTCCTGGTAGCCCATCTGGCATTTTCCTGTTCACTCACTTGGCTTTGCATGACAGCTCTGGAGCCCAGTCCTGCTTTTAGTCTCATCAGTAAGCCAGTGGAGTGAAGTAGAATGAACCTTCCATATGCTCCTGATGGCTTTTAATGGTTGGAATTAGTTACCTGCCTTCCCAAGAAGGACAGAATGGCAGACTCCAGAGCCTGCAGAAAGAATCCAGCCTTGTACCAGCTAAAGGAGGCTGACCTTGGGATTTGGGGAGCTTAGAGCCCGCAGAACCAGTGAAGATATTACAGCCCAGCTGCACCCATC